GGATAGGCTTGATGTTGACTTGAAAGTACCAACAATGAAGTTGCGCAATTATACCACTGTATATTTTTTATTTGTGGCAAATTTGCCAAAACGTTGGGACAATTCTAGAATTTATTTATTTACAGTATTTCTATTCCTCCCTTCTCACCCTGCAGGAGACTCAGGGCAGATCACAATGCACATATACATGGCAAACATTCAATACTATAGACACACAACATATATAGACAGACACACAGAGGCTATTTAACTTTCCAGTTTAATGAGGGTATACTTTGAATTCCAGCCACCAGGGGAGTTGTCGCTTCACCATCCACTTGTGACACCAATGGAGTACTTCCTCATTCTTTTGCACACTGCTGGAGAGTTTTATGGTGTCATAAATTAGTTAAATTAGCCCACCCCACATAAGTGGTACCTAAATTTTCTACTTGACAGATGCAACCATCTTTTGGGCTGCAAAGGTCGACAGCAAGCTAGACAAATGGTTGGGAGCTTACTCCGACCCGGCCTGGCTTTGAACTCATGATCTTTTGGTCGGTAGTGATTTTAATGCAGATGACACCCCAACCAGCTGCGTCACAACCTGGTCCAATAGGATAGAATACGATAACCAAACCATACAGAATAATTTCTTTGCTATATGTAATACTTTAAATGAGGTGTGTATATCTGGCAACATCAGCAAATGTTTCCACATACTGGGACTGTCATGCTGTGCAGCATAAGGCATGCAAAGGGCCCTTCCAGACAGGCCCTAAATCCCAGGATCTGATCCCAGGTTTTCTGCTTTAAATTGGATTACAGTAAAGTCTCACTTATCCAAACTTTGCTCATCCAACAAAGTTTGCCTCCCGCCTGGATCCACAGCTGTTTCAATACATTGCAATGTTTTGGTGCTATATTTGTAAATACAGGGATTACTACATAACATTGCCATGTATTGACCTGCTTTTTCTGTTGATTTTTCTGTTGATTTATTGTAAAACATGATGTTTTCGTGCTTAATTTGTAAAATCATAACGTAATTTGATGCTTAATAGGCTTTTCCTTAATTCCTCCTTATCCAACATTTTCGCTTATCCAATATTTTGCCAGCCTCTCTCTCTCTCTCTCTCTTTCTGTGTGTGTGTGTGTGTGTGTGTGTGTGTGTGTGTGTCAAGAGCCACTTGAGAAACTCCAAGTCAGTTCTGGTGTGAGAAAATTGGCCCTCTGCAAGGATGTTGCCCAGGGGATGCCTGGATGTTTTGATGTCTTACCATCCTTGTGGGAGGCTTCTCTCATGTCCCCGCATGGGGAGCTGGAGCTGACAGAGGGCGCTCATCCGTGATCTCCCTGGATTTGAACCTTCAACCTGTCGGTCTTCACTCCTGCCAACACAAGGGTGTAACCTATTGCGCCACTGGGGACTCCATCTCATACCTGAAGGCATCTTCAGGTACACTTAAGAATATTTGTAGTTACCAAAAGACATTGCGCCACCGGGGGATCCACACCAGTCTGTTTATGTTGGATAAGCAAGACTCTATTTTATATGAGTCCCCACTGCCAGATAATGTGGGATAAACAGAAAACCTGGGATCAGAACTTGGGATATAGGGCCTGCCTGGAAGGGCCCAAAGTTTCCTCTAAATTTGTGAGGTTTAGCACCTCTAATTCTGGATAGGAGCTGGCCACAAAGGTTTGTAAAATGGGAAATGGGGTACCATCCCATCTGTAAGAAAATAACAAATAAGGCCTGGCTCGGAAATTTAAATGAGAAAAGAGGATCTTCTGGAAAACTTTGTATTGGTGTCAAATCTCATGTCACAGGAAAAATCTTTTCAGTTACATTATATGTACAAACGACAATAAAGGCAAGCAACTTTCTTCTCCTTAAATGGTTATGTTCAAGAGGAAGATAAATGCTACACTGGAAGTCCTAAGATGGGTGTTTTGATGCTTGGCATCCAAATTAGATTTTGTCATGCAAACCAAGCTCCAGAAAATTAACAGTTTCTATATGTGTTTTGGTTGTGTTTAGTCTTCCACAAGTTAATTGCTATGCCATGAACAACTCACCTTTACTCTTCCCAACCCTTACATTAGCTGTGCATCTATTTTGAGAAACAATCTGAGCTGTTGCAAGAGGGGGGCTGTACATTCCCTGTAGCCAGCCCTTGTTAACAATCTGGTGATAGCCAAAGTTTCCAAACGCTCTTCAAAGGTAGAGGCCATTGCATTAATCCAAACGTGGTGTAACGAAGACATGAACCACCGTGGCCAGATCCAGCACAGCTGACGCACCCGTTTCAAATGTGCAAAGACACTCTTGACCACCACAGAAATCTGGGCCTCCAGGTTCAATGCCAAGTCAAGCAGTAGAGTGGAGCTGCATCTTGCAGGGGGGGGGGGCACAGAGGCTGCATCCCTATTCCCTGATCTAACTCGGACTGATCAGAAACACCTCTTTCTTGTCTGGGTTAAGTTTCAATTTGTTTTCCCTCATCCAGTCCATTACTGATGACAGGCACCAATTTAGAACAGGAACGGCTTCCTTGATTTTGTATGGAAAGGAGAAGTAGAATTGAGTGTTATCAGGGGTGGCTCAACTCATTACACAAGCATTTGCAGTATAGTTGATTTTGCCCAGGGGCACTCTTGGAGGAAAATAGACCTTGACGTATGTGAGTTGTAGTTACTGGGATGTATAGTTCACCTACAATCAAAGAGCATTCTGAACTCCACCAATGATGGATGTGAACCAAATATGGCACACAGAACTCTCACGACGAACAGAAAATATATATCAGTGATTGGATTTGGGGGGGGGGGGCAAAATACTGTTTGCTTACCATTGAAAATTATCTAGGGCTGTTATCAGCATATAGATGGCACTATTCCAGATGACCTCTCCAACTATTTCATATATATCAGTGGTTCCCAACTTGTGGGTCGTGGCCCAGCAGTGGGCAATGAGAATGAAAATCCAGTCCACGAACCTCATTCCTCTTATTTTATTTGATTTTATTTCCTCTCATTTCCACAGAGCTGGCCAGCCCTGCCCCTTTTGGCACTAATGTTGGAGAGTGTTCCCTGGTCAAAGTGGTCTCTGGTTAAAGAGATTCCTGTTCGAGTGGGCTCTGGTCAAAGTGGGCCTTGGTCAAGTGGTCCCCAGTCAAAAAAAGATTGGGAACCACTGATGTTTATGTTAAACAGGGCTAAAACACTGCCCTGAGGGACCCCACAAGTCAATGTCCAGAGGTTTAGACAGGAATTCCCCAGCACCACCTTCTGCCTCGTCCCTCCAGGAAACAGTGTCTGCAAGTCCCGTCCCAGCAAGGCAGCCGCAAAAGATGCTATGGTTGATGGCATCGAAAGCCACCAAGAGGTCCAGGAGAACTAACAGAGGGTCACTCCACCTATTCAGTTCTCTGTGCAAGTCATCCATCCTAGTCAATGCTAAGCAAATATTCTATTTATTATTTATTTATTTATTTATTTATTTGAAACTCTTATATACCGCAATATCTCAGCCTGGACGGCGACTCAGTGCGGTGTACAACAGGTTAAAACAATCAATTAAAAACAATATGCATATAATAACAGTTTACAAATTATTGGGCCACCAACAACAATCCCATATATCTCAAGTTAAAAGCCACAGTCAGAATTCGTTGTCCATATTTCCTGTCCTTAGTCACCTAGATTCTAGATTCACCTAGATATTTATTGCATTTGTTTTCTTAGAATGTGAATAAACATGCATGCAGACATTATTTCAATGAGTTGTTTAAAAGTCATGCTGCAGTTGGCAACTACAATGTGGTTCAGTCGTTGCTGAAGCATGAAGGAAAGAGGCAGAATGGAGGGCTTTATCACACGTGGCTCTTTTCTCACTACATTGGCATTTTTGCAAAAATGCCATTCAATCAAGATTTATTTCTTTACTTGTGGACTTTCGATCATTCCAGGATTGCAGTGTCAGTATCCGGCAAAACCTTATGGCACACAACATTTGGGTCTGCTCACCCACTACCTCCTCCAAGAAAATATCCCCATGCCTTTCCCTAATTCAGCACATAAACACACGCACACAGAACTCCCATATAAATGATCAGACTTCTTAGGGTCCTTCCACACAGCCATATAACCTAGAATATCAAGTCAGATAATCAATAATATCTGCTTTGAGTTGGGTTATCTGAGTCCACACTGCCATGTAATCCAGTTCAATGTGGATTTAATGCAGCTGTGTGGAAGGGGCCTTAGATGTAACTAATTGGCGGTAGAGGAAAGCTACTACCATATTTATGTCTGATCTATCCCCATGCCAGCTATTAGTACCATATGTCTGAAGGAAGAAACAGCAAGATAGAGGCAGGGGGTCCATGAAATGAATGCTTTTTAAAAACACTCTTGGTTTTTCCTCTTACATCTCCAGCTTTATGGGAAAGCGAATGAGGATGTTTGCCCACCATGATGTTATAGCATTGAACTAAAGAGAGAGAGAGATTCTGGAAAATGAGGCTGGGTGGGGGACAATGAGCAAAGTTTTGGCTTCTCTGTGCCCTTCCACATAGCCATATAACCCAGAATATCAGGCACTGGATTATTTCATTTCACACTGCCATATATTCCAGTTCAAAGCAGATAACGTGGGATTTCCTGCCTTGATATTCTGGGTTATATGGCTGTGTGGAAGGGCCCTCTGACAATCTGACAATCTCCAGTTTGGAGGATGAGCAATTGTTTTTTTTTTTCCCCAAACAGAAAAACAAATGAAAGTGTAAAAGTTTCTTGCAGTTACTTTGCTAAATGTAATGAAATCACATTAAAATGTTCACTCCTTGGCCTCTGATGTTTCCACTGCTAAAGCATACCGACTGAGCACCCTCAACCACACAATAGTAGCATAAGGAAAAATTGCACAGGAAATCATAGCACAACAGAAGTGTGAAAGGAAGTCATTAATGAATTTTTGTCAAATAAAAAAAATTCAAAATGATACCCCACAGGAAAACAACACAAGAACAATGCCATGAAATAAACTCCAACTACAGATGCAATTATCCTGATGCAATTGCTATTTACTTACCTCGTGTGATAAGGTTCTCATTCACATTCAGGCTGCTGATTTTCATAATGACTTTTTAAAAACTCACTGAACTCTGTAATGCAAGCTGCAAAATTCGCTGAAGAATGCAATGAAAGTTTGTATACAATTACCCATATCCTTTAAAATACAAAAGAATGTATTTCTAAGGTCAGGAAGTATGCAAATGAGGGTCAGTAGGACTGGTCACTTTTTTCCTTGCTAACAAGAGGAGTGAAATTATATAGACTAATGGAAAGAAACTATTGTATGAAAAAAATAGCCACCAAAGTACTGAGACACTTCTCATCTCAACAGCTGTTATAATGTATGCCACAAGTAGCTGGGTATGACACCAAGTCAGGCTCTGATACACTACTCTCTGAGGCTGGGATTTTGCAATTGAATGGAAAAAGTGATGGAAACAGTAGTCAGCTTTCACCATAACAGCCCAGCATAAGAACCCAAAGACCTGCCCAGGATGGAGGCCATGCCACCAGGCTGAGAAGGCAAAAGTAGCCCACAGAGGATGTGTCTTGCTCCGCTGGAATATGAGCCTCCTCAGCCATTGAGCTGTACTCTTGTTCCATGTTCGGGTAAAGACGGCAATCATGTTAGTTGTTTCTAGGGTCCAAATGTCTGCATCCATAAGTTTAGCAGTTCCCGCACAGTCTAATTCTAATCCCAAGCCAGCTGCAAGGAAGAGGGACTCATCAAGCATCCAGTTGGAGTAATAGGTCAGCCTGAAGAACAAGGCTGAAGTCCATAGGACATAAATACAGCCAAAGCAAGAGCAGTCATTCTGATCAGCCTGGGAGTAAATATATCCTCTCAGAATATTTTTCAGAAGGCCAAGCATCAGAGCACCTAAAGCTTTTTGAATGGCAGCCCAAAGAAAGCACTGAGAAAATGAGGTTCTTCTGGAACACCTTATCCATGTCTGAAATCTGTTGAAAGAACACAGAGGGCCGCCCAGCAGGATAGGGAAAGAGAGCAGGTAAGTACAAACTGGCAGTGCCTGCAGGAGATGCCGCTCAAGAGGCCCCTTCTCTGCATCTGGCAGCCACAGCCTCACTTTGCCTTCATGGATGTCCAAAGTCAGTGAGGTGATCCTCTGCGTCATCAGCATGAGAACAGAAAGGGTGATGGAAAATCTGAAACAGACAAGATCAGAAGAATACACTAATTGCCTTTATAAGGCTGTGGGTTCTATGTAGTGAGAATTCAATTTAAGAAATATTTCATTGTTGCAACTACCCAGAACAGTGGATTCCAACCTTTGGTCCTCCAGGTGTTCTGGACTTCAGTTCACACAAGTCCGAACAGCTGGTAAGATGCCCGGGTTTTCTGGGAACCACTTGTTTAGAATGTTGGGAACCACTTATTTAAAATTATCTAAAACATTGTCATTTTGTAAAGGTGCAGAAAAATATTATTTTCACTCTTAAAACCTCATCACAAGGGTAGGATTTCAGAAGCACATGCCGGTTCTGCCCTATATCACCCACAGAGCCTGCTGGCTCCCATCAAACGACACCAGTGGAGATATGTGGGTTAAGTAGGGCGAAGCTGGTGCATGTTGCCACCGCAACATAGGAGGCTTCCTGTGTTGCCATAGAAAGTCATGGGGGAAACCGCAAGATCAATGCTTCCTCCCATGGGATCAACTGACTTGGGAGTCAGGCGAAAGGGAATGTGAAGCGCTGGCTTCCCCATGCCCCCAATGACACAAGATGATGTTTTGCTCCATAAATAGCCTTACAACATGAGTAAAGGTAACTAAAAAGCTTCACTTCAGCAAAATGATGAGTCGGTGTTGTCCATAGACACCCCCAAGGTCATATGATCAGCATGACTGCATGGAGCACCATTACCTTCCCGCCAGAGTGGTAACTATTCATCTCACATTGGCATGCTTTTGAACTGCTAGGTTGGCAGAAGATGGGGCTAACAGTGGGAGCTCACCCTGCTTCCTGGATTTGAACCTGCGACCTTTCAGTCAGCAAGCTCAGCAGCTCAGCAGTTTAATCCACTGCACCACTGGGGCTCCGCCAAAAGAAACAGCTTGTAAAAATATGAGCTGCATAATTGTCTGCATTAATAGGCGGGTGCAATTACCACTTTACCTGGGGCATGTAGTTTCTTGGAGATAGTACTCTTTGTACTGCAGCCAAAGATGGCACAGTGTTTGCCAGGTCATCTGGAAGCAGAATGCCCGTTTGTGGACTTGCTGCAGGTCAGCTGAATGGATTATAGCAAGAGAGCAGAAGGCAGATACAAATACCAGCAGAGCGTAGCACCCCATGGCAGCACAAGCAAGGATGACGCCACCAACCAAGAGGAAAACATACCTGAAAAGAAACAAAAAATGCTTCCCAAGTCAATGAAGCAATTTTCAACCTCAGAAGTTTCCTGCTCCTCCTAAGGCTTTTTGCACTGCAGAACATTTCGAAAATTGGGAACCAGATATTACATGAGATAAACTCTCTGCTAAAGCAGATAAATTTGAGGGTAAAGAGTATTTGCAGGGAAGAAGCAAGCAGGGAAACTAAGGCGCCTTCTACACAGCTGTATAGAATTCACATTATCTGCTTTGAACTGGATTATATGGCAGTGTAGACTCATATAATGCAGTTCCAAGCAGAAAATCTGTTTTTTCTGTTTAGTGATTTGACGGCTCCAGTAGTTTTACTGACCATGAGTCTTCAATAATCGTATTAATTGTTGACTTATTTAATGATGTTTTTTAACTTTATTTTTATACCTTGCCACCATCTCCCCAAGGGGACTCAGGGCGGCTTACAAAGGGATAAGTCCTAATACAGATAAAACAAAACACAATCAAATCAATCAAATAAAAACATAACACGGTTACCAACATCATCCTAAAACAATCTTATGACAGAGATAAAGTCGACGCTGGGTTTGGGTACAAGTAAGTATGAGATGCTGTTGTTTATTCATTCAGTCACTTCTGAGTCTTCATGACCTCATGGACCAGGCCACGCCAGAGCGCCCTGTCACCATCCCCAGCTCTTTCAGAGTCAAACCAGTTGCTTCAAAGATACCATCCACCCATCCATCTTGCCCTTGGTCAGCCTCTCTTCCTTTTTCCTTCTATTTTCCCCAGCATCATTGCCTTCTCCAAGCTTCCCTATCTTCTCATTAAGGGGCCATTGAAGTGAATTTCAATTGTTATGAAAAAGACAATATAGTTTTTGTTTGTTAGGCTTATACTCAATAGCCTTGTGCTATCTTATGCTCTTCTCTAAAACTTATTTATGCAAACAAGGGTTTTCTGCTTTGCTGGCAATTAAAAACAAATCCAGGAATCAATTGAAAGTCAGCGATGATACGCGTGTAGCTTTGAACAATAATATTAGTCCCAGGATTACCCAACTTGTAGAGAAGATGCAAGTTCAAAAATCATATTGATGAAAATGTTCTTTTAATATTATAACAGTACTCTTAATTCATGTTACTATTATGTTTAATGAATATGTTAAAAGTTTTGATTAAAGTTTATTTTTAGATGAACATCGTTTATTATTCTTGAACGTTGTGGTCTGTGCTCACAACAAAAGAATCAAAGTGATATCTGGTAAAAAAAAAAAAAGAAATGGTTGGGAACCACTGGTCAAGTCTGTCTTTCCTGGGACAGTCGATAGATATACAATTGCTATCATTGTAAACATTTCTTAGTATATTTCTTGCTGGTAACAACAACAACAAATGTGACAAATCAAAAATATTGTACAGAACATAAAATAAGCATACGTACCTTGAATTTATAGAGAGGTTTGTAGAGCTGCATAGATAATGAAACAAGACAGCAAATGGTAAGGCAGCTAACTGATAGAAAGCAGTGGCTTGAAATAAAAATGGGGTTTCCCAGTTCATTGTGACAGTGTATCTCAAAATGCTTGTTTCATATATAGTCTTTCACTGTCACCTAAATAAAGCCTGTCCTGTACATTGCTAAGTTTTCCATATATCAGGGCGAGCTCTTAATGGAGATCAAACAGATAACAAAGGTGAGTCCATCAGAACTTAAAACCACTGTGGTGAAGAGTTGTGGATTTTTGCTTTGGGTTCCTGATATAATATAGTCAGAGAAAGAAAGAAAGTAAATATCTTCTGTTTGCCCACACACTACTTTTACTGAGCTTCCCTGCCATGCTGCTCAGATTGACATATGGGACATGCTTGTTCTGCTGGGTTTCTTCTAAACATTGACGACAAGAAGGGGTGGGAGTGGAGATAAAAGCCTGAATACGCAAATAATGTCAATGTCTCCATGGCACAGAACAAAGAAGGAAAGCTGGGTCTTGGCCATTCTCTCTGGTTGCTATCATATGCACGCTAGATGAAGTGTAAACAATGGCAATAGTAGCAGGAATGGACAAATACTTCAATAATCTGGTCGGTCTGTAAAGCAATCAGATACCAAACTCTGCATTTACCGTCTAAATGCAGGAGCAAATAGAAATGGACAGGGGCCACGGTTAGTGCAGTGGGTGAAACTGCCAGCTACAGAAAATCTTGCCAACCGGAAAGCTGGCAGTTCAAGCCACAGGTCAGGGTGAGCTCCCACCGTCAGCTCCAGCTTCTACTTACCTAACAGTTCAAAAACAGCAATGTGAGTAGATAAATAGGTACTGCTGTAGCAGGGAAGTAAAAGGTGCTCTTGAATACATACGGGCAATTTGATCAGGAAGGTATCCATGGACATCGGCTCCTCGGTGGAAAAATGGGAACAACACCACCTCCCCATGGCCGAGTCGAGCACAGCCTCCAGATGCTGGAAATGAAAAAGAGGGAAGCCTTGCCTCTGTCTATGTACTGTCTGTCTTTGTTGTTAATTTTATAATGGCATTGAATATCTGCCATATATGTACTCTGTAGATAGGGAGATAGAGCGGAATATAAATAAAGTATATTATTATTAACAATGTTGCTGAAGGATAGATATGTCACTGGACACATTCCCAGAAGAATGGAAACCTTTTTATCAATATATATCTAGGGGAAAGACTTTATGTACAGGTCTGAAAATATCAACATTGGGGTATTCATTTGTTAATGTTAAAACAAACAGAAGTAAACACCTTATAGGTTATAGGTAAAAAGTAAAGGTTTTTCTCTGACATTAAGTCAATTCGTGTCTGACTCTGGGGGTTGGTGCTCATCTCCATTTCGAAACCGAAGAGCGGCATTGTCCATATACACCTCCAAGGTCATGTGGCTGGTATGACTGCATGGAGAGCCATTACCTTCCTGCCGAAGCGGTGTCTATTGATCAAACTGCTAGGTTGGCAGAAGCTAGGGCTGACAGCAGAAGCTCAAGCCGCCTCATGGCGATCCTTTCGGTCAACAAGACCTCAGTGGGTAACCCACTCGCGCCACCAGAGGGGGGGGGGGGTGTGTGGAAGAAAAAATATTAAATTATAGATTATCTGCTTTGAACTCTAATACATAGCAAGTGTAGATTCATATAACCCTGTTCAATGCAAAGAATGTGGACTATCTGCTTTGATGATCTGGATTATATGGCAGCGTAGAAGGGGCCTGAGTCTCTACTGCCAGATAATCTGGGATAAGAAGATAGTCTGGGATCAGATCCTGGACTATAGGGGCAGCGTTGAAGAGGCCTTAGGTAAAACACTAGCAGGTTTTTATTTGGGGTTTCTCCACTTCCGTGCAGATTCTGTGGATCTAATCCCAGCAAATTTGGAGATCTGGCTGTAATCCTTTCACATGCCTTTCCTCTGTGCCTCTCCGTTTACACTCACGGTGGCCACATTAGTATTTCAGATAGCAATAATAATAATAATAATAATGGAATCCTGGGGATTGTAGTTATTATTTATTTATTTACTATATTTATAGCCCGCCTTTCTCAGCCATACAGCGACTCAAGGCGGGTTACAGATTGGCACAATTCGATGTCAGGCATTCATAAAAGTGCCATTAAAAACAATCAACATTACAATATAAAACATAAATAAAAACCATTAAAGCATATAACCATAAGTGTCATCTTGTTAAAAACATTATCCAGTAATATTGTCTGGCCATTCCATGTTCATCACTCATAGTTCCGTGTTATGTATTTCATTGCATTCTCAAAAGCTTGCTCAAAGAGCCAGGATTTTTCTCTTTTTTTGGAAAGTCAGGAGGGAGGGGGACAATCTAATATCCCTGGAGAGGGAGTTCCATAGCTGGGGGGCCACCACTGAGAAGGCCCTGTCCCTCATCCCCACCAATCGCGCTTGGGAGGCAAGCAGGATCAAGATCAGGGCCTCCCCAAACGATCTTAAGCTCCTAGATGGTTCATAGGAGGAGATACATTCAGATAGGTAAGCTGGGCTGGAATCGTTTAGGGTTTTATATGCTAAAGCCAGAACTTTGAATTGTGCTCGATAACAAATTGGAAGCCAGTGGAGCTGGCGCAACAGAGGAGTACTGTGCTCCCTGAGCGCCACTCCTGTTAGTAACCTGACTGCCAACCGTTGGACCGTTTGAAGCTTCTGAACAGTCTTCAAAGGCAACCCCACGTAGAGCGCATTGCAGTAGTCTATACGGGATGGTACGGACTACCGTGGTCAAGTCAAACTTTCCAAGGTACGGTTTACAACAGTGGTTCTCAACCTGTGGGTCCTCAGGTGTTTTGGTCTACAACTCCCAGAAATACCAGCCAGTTTACCAGCTGTTAGGATTTCTGGAGTTGAAGGTCGAAATATCTGGGGACCCACAGGTTGAAAACCACTGATTTACAAGGTCTTGGAGCCTTCTTGGCGTGCTGGTTCTTCAGCAAACTACAATTCCTAGCATTCCACAGCATTGAGCCAGGGGGTGTCAAACTGCATTCATTAATAGGGTTGACAGATGTGACCACGAAGGGATTCGAACCCTGTGCTCCACCGTCAAGGTCCAACGCTCAAACCACTACACTGGCTCTAATACATTTGCAGCTGTTCCTTTCTCTCCCGGCGGATGTCATGACGTCATCCCAGGTCCCAACCTATTTACAGCCAAAGGCAAGTAGGGAAGGAGGCGGAGTCTGCAACGCCTTTCGTCCCGCCCTCCTATGTTTCCCATTGGTTGCGAATCGCGCTTTGCCACGCCCACACATGCTTTGCTCAACTCCGCCCAATCAAACGCAAGGCTGACAAGTTGATTGGCAGATGTCCCTCCTCTCCTCCAGGCTGCCTCATCGCAGGCCGAGCAATAGATGACGTGAGCGGAAAAGATGGCGGAGAAAGCGCCGAAGAGGTGAGTGCAACTGGTTCAATAGAGGGGTTCAGCCGAGGGGCGTCGGTTAGCCAGTCGCTTCCGGGTCTGAATTGCTCTATTGGTTGGGAAGGGGCGGTGAGGAGCTAGAAGGCCGAGAGCCCTTTCCTCCTTCCGTGGTTACAGGGGAAAACCTCGGCCTAGCATTGCTGTTGAGGCCCTTTTCTCAGTAGCTGTTATGGTTGTGAATAGGTTACAGCTTTCAATGTCGATATTGAAATACTAGCCGTCCCTTGCCAGGCGTTGCTGTGGCCCAGTCTGGTGATCTGGAGAATAAAGTAACGAGAAAGTCTTGGTTTCTAATCTATGTAATGTCTTGATGCTTGTGGGTCAACAGTATTTCTTGCTGTTTCTTTGTCAGCGTTGATGTGGAAATTGTCTAGTTTGCCTACTCTGGAACATGCAACATATCATTGCCCTTCTTTAGGAGTCCCTTTCAAATCTATGATACTATATCTCTGTGTGTGTGTAAATCATATCTATATCTATGACTGGATGGATCTTTGTCAGGAGGGCTTTGATTATGTTTTCTTGCCCTTGTAAAGGGAGTTGGACTGGTTGGCCTTACGTAGGAACCAGTCCTCTCCTAGTAAGATCGTTCAGAAAGATGCCTTGTTTTAGGGCTAAAAACCATGTAAGCCTCTACATTCTCTATCAGCTGAGTTTGCATTCAAAATACACATATTTTGGATGGAGATGCACAACATGACTGCTGTTTCTTTTGCTCTCTTTTCTAGTGTAAAGATTGCTCCCGGCGCTGTTGTCTGTGTAGAGAGTGAAATCAAGGGAGATGTGACAATAGGTAAGAAAACATTGTTTGTGTACTGTTTTTGGATTCTTTGGATTTAATTTCCATAACCATCAGAACTTGAAAGTTAATCTACAGAAATTCCTCACAATTCCCAAGCTGCTTTGTTGTACAGCAAACATTAGATAACATACCTTGAGTAGTTGTCTCTCTCTTCAAAAGTACCGTGTTTAGGCTGCTCCAAATAACAGTGAGCAGCATAATAATAGCTCTGTCACTCCACTTTCCCTGCTGAAGAGTTTTGTTCGTAAACTTCCTCCTTTGCCGGAATTTTCTGGCATTCCCTTATAGGTGCCTTAAATACCTTCCCGCTTTAAAGCAGTATCTATTTGCCTATTCACATTGCTGTTTTTGAAACTGCTAGGTAGGCAGAAGCTGGGCTAAAGGCCTGGAGCTCACCCTGACCTGAGCTTCAAACTGACAATCTATCAGTTGAGGCCAGGACACAGTAGAACATGACAGGACTGTGCCCCATGAACAATTAAAATCATCTTTGAACCTTACTTCTGAATGTGTGCAAAAAACCATGATGTATTTTAATGTCATAGTAGAGTTACGTCAAAAATAAACCATGAGTGTTTTCCACAGGCCCTCGCACAGTAATTCACCCCAAGGCACGGATCATTGCAGAAGCTGGACCAATAGTGATCGGAGAAGGTAACCTCATAGAAGAACAAGCCATTATCATAAATGGGTTAGTATGATTCAGTTGATTTTAATTACATCGATTGCAATTGCTATGGCAGGTTTCCCCAACTCAGTGTTCCCCAGATGTTTGGGACTGCACTTTTTAAAAGGTGTGATTCTTGGCCATTCTAGCCTGTCTTTACAGAAGGTGAGTTGCAAATTATAGTCCTTGATGAAACTGCAAGGTAATACATTGAGGTTCCCTAGTTATTTTCAATATATTGAATTAACAGTTAAATTATTAACTGTTTTTAACTATATGTAATCTTTCAGCCTGTGTAAACCTTGGTACAGGTGCCTTTTTGAAATACTGCAGACATAGAAACTCAAATACAAGGTGATATTTCCTGCCACCATTAGACTGGAGGGCCACTTTTTCACCTTACCTTTCCCAAGCCTAATTACAATACTTTAGGAATCAAAACAATATTTTTTAAAATTCCGAAGAGATAGCTCTGCGAATCTGTCACATAACAGCACTTTTGAAACTGAATTCTTGAAGCATAAGCTTTTTTGGATATTCATTTTTTCAGATCACAAAATAAATAAATAAATAGGCGGCCTGGATTCATAGCTGACTGACTACAAATGTCTTTCATCAGTCAAACAAAATAGTGACTTATCTATTAAAGCTCAAGGCATACTTCTTAAAAGGTAAAGTAACACTTTATAGTTATGGGCAATATTTTTCATACATCCATTATATATAATGACGTTCCTATCTTCATCTGCTGGTAGAACAGGTACCTTGCACCACGGACAGTCCATACCAAAAGATCAACATAGCTAAGCAGGGAATCCAAACTCTAATATAAAATATATTTTATCTTATATATTTAATCTATTAAATATATTTTATATTATATTTATACATATTGTATTTAATCAAATATAAAAACACTTATTAATGCATTGTTTGACAATGTTTTAAAAATAGAAATTTTAATGCAGACTTTCAATTCCTTTACAGCTATCCCGAAAATATTACTCCTGATACAGAAGGAATGGAAGCTAAACCAATGATTATTGGCACCAACAACGTATTTGAAGTTGGGTGTTGTATCCTTCTGAGGTGTTACAAAGAAGAGGTCTGAGGTCTGTGTTTGTGCAGTAYAGGGAAGTTACGTGGGACATGAGAGAAACCTCTCACAGGATGGTAAGACATCCGGGCATCCCCTGGGCAACRTCCTTGCAGACGGCCAATTCTCTCACACAAGAAGTGACTTGCAGTTTCTCAAGTTGCTCCTGTCACAAAAAGGAGGAAGTTACACAATAGCCGCTTTGGACTAAGATTTGTATTGTGATGTAGCAGCTCATGAAATTCCAATTTTGCATAAGAATTATCTGGGATGTCTCCACTTTTTGTATGTCCTATCTTAAGATTGTGCAGATGTCATTCAGAAATGAACTTAATTCACATTCAACATGAGATCATCCTAATTGTGGTTGTGGGATATGTGTTGGTTACCAATAATATATTAAGCATTCATTTGTTTCACTGCAAAATACATCAGTTTTATTACAATACCACACTGCAGAAGATAATTGTAATTGTAATTTGAGTTGCAAGTTCAAGCGTTACAACTAAAACATAACAAGCTTGCTGAATATTCCAATGGGAACAGAATCTCAAGATGTGAATAGGCAATTTTTTGTTCGGCTTGAAAGATGAAAAGCCTTTAAGATTTTTCACTGTGGTGGAAGCTCCTTCCTTGGAAGCTTTTACACAGAGTCTGGATGACCATCGGTTGGGGGTGCTTTGATTGTGCTTTTCCTGCATGGCAGGAGGCTGGACTAGATGGTCCTTGGGGTCTTTTCCAACTTTATGATTACTGATGCTATTATGCTGCAAAGAATTCAACACAGTTTGTCATCACCTGAGGTGTCATGACAATAACAAATCTCTGGATGTGCAAGTGACTGCTTTTGAGAATGTTTTCTGAAGTTCATAGTCAGTTTTTGGCTAAACCAAATATTATTACAGTATAGCGTATTTATTCCAGGAATTTCAAGTGATATCGAAGGCTTTCATGGCTGGAATCACTGGGTTGCTGTGAGTTTTCCGGGTTGTATGGCCATATTCCAGAAGCATTCTCTCCTGATGTTTCGCCCACATCTATGGCAGGCATCCTCACAACCTCTGAGGATGCCTGCCATGGATGTGGGTGAAATGTCAGGAGAGAATGCTTCTGTAACATTTCCATACAGCCCAGAAAACTCACAGCAACCCAGTTTAAAGTGGCATATCAGCTAAATTGCTCCATGGACTTTTGCTCATTGGAAGTTATTTTATTTGCTGCTTATAGAATAGTATTTACATTTGAACTTGTTCTGTCACCAGTATTGTAAAAATAACAGCTTGCAAATACCAGCTTGCATTTCCTGAAGTTACATGAGGAATTTTATTTTGATAATTCTAGAATAAGGGAAAATATTACATTCAAAATGTTGATTACTTTTCTTAACCATGGCATACAGATTCTCAGGCAATGAAAATAGGAGACAACAATGTTATTGAATCCAAAGGTAAATGTCTTGATTAAATAAGAAATCTAGTGATGAGTTCTTTTCCCAGTCTCCCAGCTCTTGTGTTGTTTGTGGCCAGGATCCAATCAGGTATTCAAACTGGATCACAAGAGTTCCTTGGGCAGAAAAAGGCAACTTGTAAAACCTTCAACAATCCTTCTAATTAGACTGTTTCTATTAGCTTAATATTTTAACAGGGAAAGTGAGGGCTTAAGTATGTGACATCTTTGTTGCACTTCCTGCTTTCACCTTTTCCACACTCAACCCTCCAATGTGAAACACACATACGTATTTTGTGAGGCAGGGAGATGTCTCTTATACTGATAGTACTTTCTGAAGCCCAATGTATCTGAAGACAGTAATGCCATCAGAGGAATATTTTGGTGCACATATCTATAACTTATTCTTGTAAAATGAACCAGAGTGCTCCAAATACAGGGGAGATTCAAAGTATGGCGATGGACACAGCCAAGGAGAAGGAGAACAATACTACTACTACTACTACTACTATTTTATTATTTTACCCCACCACCATCTCCCCAAAAGGACTCTGGGTGGCTTGCATATAATAATAATAAAATAATAATAAAACTTTATTTATACCCTGCCACCATCTCCCCAAGGAGACCCAGGGCGGCTTACATGAGGCCAAGCCCAGCAATACAACAATGCAAATATACAACATAAAAATACAACAATAAAATATAAGAAAATAAGATAAAATACAAGAAACAATATAAATAAACACATCAGAACAATATAAAATCACAATATGGGGGGAAATGCCCACAAATACAAAACAATCCATTAAAACAAAAACACAATTAAAAAAAAAACATAGTAAAATATAACAATCCAGATAAAAGCACAAATAAATAACACATAAACTATAAAACAGCAGCATTGAAACTCAGTCAAAACAATACTCAGCAAGACCAATTACCATGGGCATTACCAGGCTATAAAAGGGCTGGGCATGGGATAGTGCAAGTAGGGGTGGGTATTGAATGAAGTACAGAAGACAAAATATTATCAGGGAACCTAGGGACTGGGCGTTCTCAAATGCCAAATAAATAGGATTCCCTGTAACACCATTAAATCCAATTTGCCGGCTCCTACGATTTCTGGGAGTTGAAGGCCAAAACATTTGGGGACCCACAAGTTGAGAACCACTGGGTTAGGTAGAAATTGTGCTCCAAATTCAGGGTTCGGCTCTTGATGACAACAATTTTGCTTTTCTAATTACCAATGGAATTAGATGAAAATCCAATGTTGATCTCCTCACTGAACATTGACTCCAGTTCTTTAAGAATACTCTCTCTTGTCCCTGATATCACTCTTCCTCACACCTGGGTTGTCTTTGTTTATCTTTCAGTCTCTGAGAACACTGAATTTCTCTCTGTTTCGCATTATCCCTTCTTATTTGTAAATGCTGGGTTATCTGTAACCCTTCTGTCTCCTCCACATTCCTTTCATAGTCAATCCCTGGCTGATTCTCATGAGAATTGCTGCCTGTTTCTCTGACAACAGATCTACCCAACACATTCCCATCATCTCGAAAAACACTTTCACCCCTACAGAAACACCAGGCTCAACCAGAAAATTCTTGTCCTCATCGGCTTCACAGGCCTTAACAATAATATATATAATATATGAAACTCTTATAACGGGTTGATTTAACATCTGGTTACAAATAAAACAGAATTATTTTAGACATGCATCCATTGTGAAAGAATGCATGTCTAAAAAGCATGTCACCAACATGACAAGTTTGGAAGATTCTGGTCTAGTCCTTAATGTTCGAGGTCCTTTTCCTATACTGCAAGCTGTAATAACTCCAGAGGTGAGTCTCTGGAGAATATTTGCCTGCAAGAACAGTACCATTAAACTTGGAATTCAGTCTTGAAATTAGAGGGACATTTTTTTTGATGTGCACATGACTGTAGAGAAACTGGTTGTAGTTTGGCAAAGGTGGATCACTAAACAGGATTACATTGACCAACAAACTTGGTGATTCAAATGTTAGCCCTTTTTCTGCGTATATTTGACCTTGTGATTCCAGTTTTCCCCCATGAGCTTTAGTTTTTGAGATACCGAACATATGCCATCCACCAGTCGCCATCTGCTCACCCATAGAAAATCATGATAACCATCTCTATTAAACTAGAGTGGATGTGGTCTATCCATTGCAATTTTCTGAATCAGCACCTCAAGTAATATCAAGAACAGGCCTAAAAATTAATGCACCAAGAAAACAAATTATAAAACAAGATGGCAAAAACTATAGAATGAATGGATGGCAGTGATGGAATTACATTGTTATTGTTGGCATTAGAGATGGAATATTTGTGTGGGCAGTGGATTCACTGATGCTGTCTTACTGTTTATTAATAGAAGTCTTCAACACCTTGCCTCTGTAGCTTATGTAGGTAGGAATGTGATCTTGACAAGCGGCTGTATCATTGGTGCCTGCTGTAACGTTAACACCTACGAAGTTATTCCTGAGAACACGGTAATCTATGGAGCTGACTGTCTTCGTCGAGTTCAAACTGAACGACCACAGGTGGGTGCATGGCCAGATATGTACCAATAGAATTGTACCTGTCGCTACTACTGTGGTGTGTCTTCCCTGTACTATAGTATGACTTTGTTGACAAAATCTGGTCTGAAGATAATTCGCTTAAACCAATCTGTTGGAGTAGAGAGCTATGGAAATTGTGTACAATGTGGAGGATGTACATATGAGTCAGATCTCTCTAATGAGTAATATAATACTTATTATTGCTGTTTAAAGGAAGGGCCAAGGATATTTGGATGTTGGCAATATAAACAACAGTAGATTGTGATCTATCACTTTGAGACATAAATACCAGCTGTGTTAGAAGAAGGGATCGCTGTGATTCTCTTATTTTTCTCAATTTGTTCTTCAATTCATTGTCTTTTGTGGAATAATTTCCAAAGAATTCAGATTTTACCACCATAACTGTGCTTTGCCAGAACTACAGTTGGAACAACTTAAACCCAATTCAAGACAAGGACCAAGCTTTGTCAAGGACCAAGTTTTGTCAATAAAGCTCTTTAGGATCCCTAGAGGTAGATTTCAGCATGGATATGGGGCCCACTGGTGGTCCGGCTCGATAAACCGTTGAGCTGTTGAACATGCTGAATGAAAGGTTGGTGGTTCAAATCCGGGGAGCGGGGTGAGCTCCTGCTGTTAGCCCCAGCTTCTGCCAACCTAGCATTTTGAAAATATGCAAATGTGAGTAGATCAACAGGTATCACTTCTGTGGGACGGTAACGGTGCTCCATGCAATCATGCCGGTCCCATGACTTTGTAGGCATCTACGGACAATGCCAGCTCTAGATTAGAAATGAAGTTGAGCACACCACCCCCAGAGTCGAACATGAATAGACTTAATGCCAGGGGAAACCTTTACCTTATGAAAAGATTAAATGTGGAAGATTTTTTCCCCTAATGCCTCTGTACTTTGTGATATGAGGCAAGGAGAGGAAATATCTGAAGGCCAGACTATTTGACTTCCTTACTTTGAGGTTTCCACAGTACTATGTTGCTTGAACCAACTACCAAATCATTCCTATTAGAATAGAGAGCATAGGCCACTGGATGCAGACTGTCACTCCTCTTATCACTGCTCTTCTTTTTCTGACACTGATGCATTTCCTTTTAGCCACAAACACTGCAACTGGACTTCCTGATGAAAATCCTGCCAAACTATCACCATCTTAAGAAAGCCATGAAAGGAACTTCTACTCCAGTCAAAAGTTGAAGACCTCCCTGCATGATTACAGAATTTGTGGCGGGGATGTTTCTGTCTCCATTCAGAACTTCGCTTCTACAAGAACTGGCTTCATTTCCTTTGCTAACTCACTCATTCCATTCTGCCACATAATTTTATTTATTTAAATGATGAAAAATAAAGGCCAATCTATTATCCATGCTGGGTCTATATTCTTACCTGTGTGCTTTGTTTATCTGGATAGTTTTGCCTAGGGCAGTGGATTAAAGCTCTGAGCTGCTGAACTTGCTGACCAAAAGGTCACAGGTTTGAATCCGGGAAGCAGCGTGAGCTTCCGCTGTCAGCCCCAGCTTCTGCCAGCCTAGCAGTTTGAAAACATGCAAATGTGAGTAGATCAATAGGTACTGCTCCGGCGGGAAGGTAACAGTACTCCATGCAGTCATGCCGGCCACGTGACCTTGGAGATGTCTACAGACAATGCCGGTTCTTCGGCTTAGAAATGGACATGAGCACCAACCCCCAGAGTCGGACACAACTGGATTTAATGTCAGGGGAAAACCTTTACTTTTACCTAAGTCTGAAATTACTTGATGGCACACAAGAACAACAATCCTATTGAAATACTGATTGGTTTAAATTGTCAGTTAAAATTGTGCTTCTTTTAAAATATTGTATCAGTTCTTTCAAAAAATATTTTTCATGACAAATATGATCTGTGCAGTGTGCATAGGAATTCATTCGTGTTCTTTTCAAACTACAGTCTGAGCCCCCAACAGTCTGAGAGACAGTGAAACAGCCCTCAGCTTTAAATGCTTGAGGACCTCCAGTCTAAACTGATGAAGAGCTTACACACTTTTGTGGCATTTTTCTTAGTCCCAAAGTTTTCCCTGGGGTATTATTATAAGTTACTATTTGGAGATACTCTGTGGGCAGTTATTCTGGCTATGTCCTCTGTCTATCCACATTTGGTTCCCAACCTTTTTTGGATCAGGAACCACAAAGTTCACTGTTAATCGAAAAATAAACTTTAATCAAAATTTAACATGTTTGTTAAACTTAATAGTAACATGAATTAAGAGGACTATTATAATATTAAAAAAACATTTTAAATTGAAAATTAAATGTGATTTTTGAGCATGCATATTCTTTACAAATTGGTAATTCTGGGGCTAATATTATTGCTCAAAGCTACACGAATATCATCACTTACTTTCAATCAATTCCTGGACTTGTTTCTAATTACCAGCTAAGCAGAAAACCCTTGTTCGCATAAATAAGTTGTGGAGAAGAGTATAAAATAGCGCAAGGTGATTCCTCAAATTTCAGTATAAAAATTGCTTTTTTGCACCAAAACTCCTCAAGAGAATCAGATTCAAATGTGCCTTTGCAGTTTCTATCATTTTGAAATTCAATGAGCTCTTCCTGGATTTCTTCTGTAACCTCTCCAACATTAGTAACCAAAAGGTCGCAGGTTCAAATCTGGGGAGCGACATGAGCTCCCGCTGTTAGCCCCAGCTTCTGCCAACCTAGCAGTTCGAAAAACATCCAAATGTGAGTATATCAATAGGTACCGCTCCAGCGGGAAGGTAACAGCGCTCTATGCAGTCATGCCAGCCACATGACCTTGGAGGTGTCTACAGACAATACCAGTTCTTCAGCTTAGAAATGGAGATGAGCACCAATCCCCAGAGTCGGAAGTCGGACACGCCTGGACTTAATGGCAGGGGAAAACCTTTACCTTTACCTATCTATAACAGAGCCAATGTGATGTAATGCTTTGAGCATTGAACTATAACTATGGAAATCAGGGTTTGATTCCTCACTTGACCAAAGAAACACACTGAATAATGGACAAGTCACAGAATTTCAGCCCTGGAGAATCCAGTGATAGGTTCGCCTTAGAGTGGCCATAAGTCATAAATCATGTGAAGGCACTCAACAATAATAATATCTCTATTCATTATCTGCTTCACCTCTTCATTCTCAATTGATAGAACCCACCTTATATGAAATTAGTTCAGTACTATCTTACTATTCTTTTCTGTATGTTTGACATGTTGAAAATTTACAACACTAACAATGGATGCATTCAGGGATAAACTATAAAGAATCCACAAGTATGCCTTGAGGAAAGACAGTGTTGCTTGACTGATGAAGTTTTCACTCTAGAAGAATTGGCTATCACTAAGGTACAATATCCAAAGATTTCCCTATTTCCTTTGTTTCTTTGTAATCCTCTTCATTGCTCCCATCACATCCTCATTCCTCAGGCTGTAGATGAAAGGGTTGAGCATGGGTGTGACCATGGTGTAGAGGATGGCCACAACCCGGTTCTTCATGATGCAGTAGGATGAGGAGGGCCGGATGTAGACTGCAATCACAGTACCATAGAACAGGGAGACTGCCCCCAAGTGAGAGCCACATGTTGAGAAAGCCTTACACTTCCCAGCAGCTGATGGCATCTTCAAGATGGCTACCAGGATGAGTATATATGAAACTACAATAAAGAGGAAAGGACCCATAATGATCAAGGAACCCTCTGTGAAAGCCAGGAGTTCATTGGGCAGAGTAGAGGAGCAAGAGAGACGCAAGAGAGGCTGAACATCACAAAAAAAGTGTGGGATCTCCCTGGAGGCACAAAAGGAGAGCCGAGCCATCAAGAGAACATGGACCAGTGAGTGGAGATGAGCCAGCAGCCAGGAACTCATTACCAGCATGAGGCAGCGCTTGTTACTCATGAGGACAGAATAACGCAATGGGTGGCAAATGGCCACATAGCGATCATATGCCATGGAAGCAAGTAGAAAGCTGTCTGTGATGCCAAAGGCCACAAAGAAGTACATTTGGGTGAGACAGCCCCAATAGGTGATAGCCTTTGTGGGTGATAATAAGTTCTCCAAAGCTTTGGGCACAGTGGTAGAAGCAAAGCCAAGATCTGCCAGGGAAAGGTGACTGAGAAAGAAGTACATGGGAGTATGGAAGAGGCGAGAGTCAGTTCTGATGAGCAGGATGATCATCAAATTTCCAAGGAGGATGAGCACATAAATGGAGAGAAAGAAAGAAAATAGGATTCCTCGATTTCCTGTTTTGGTGAACAACCCAAGGAGGACAAATCCAGATGTTCTGGTTTGGTTCACATTGCCCATGTGTCATCTAAAAATACCTGTGAGGAAGATAAGTCAGAGATGTTCAGCAAGAACATGCATGGCCTGATTTCATTGAAGCTTCAGAAATTATGGAAAGGTTGATTTGGATCATGTCACCAGTCCAAACTAATAATAATTTTTATTTCTTACCCACGCCTCCTTAAAGCTCGAAGAGTAACTAGAGCAGATCCTTTGAATCAGTTGCATTTACCTATATGTCAACTCATCACTGAGCAATTGATTCAACAGGTTTTCTCTAACTAATATGGGTTTTTTTCCTTTGTCTCAGCATAGGACATTAGGAACCTTTGGTCCAGTGGGGGGTTTAGACATCAGCTCCCAAAAGCCAATAAGATCTGTGGCAAGGGATTAGGACTATGGTTGTCTAAAACAGAGGTGTCAAACTTGTGGTGCTTCAGGTGTTTTGGACTCCAACTCTCAAAGCCCTAACTAGTTTGTCAAATGGTCAGGAATTCTGAGAGCTGAAGTTCAAAACACTCTGGAGAACCACAAATTTGACACTGTTAGTCTAAAACATCTGGAGGGCCAAAGGTCTTGCTCCTTCTCTCTTTGTCACACACATACACTTCAGCTGCTAGCTATATTGTGTTGAAATGTTCTTGTCACCAATAAGTTGCAATAATTGAGGAAACAAATTCTAGGAATTGACATGATGGCTGTGACTGTAGCGAAGGCAAAAGGAAGAGGGAAAGAGACATGTGTAAGCAAAAGTATGAAAGGGTTGACTTACACGGAATGCAATATGTTTGTAATAGACAGACTGATATGAAAATAGAAAGAAAAGGATGGTTGTAGTGTCTTCATTTTTTCTGGAGTGATTAACATGCCTGTATCATTAGCAATACAACAACACCAACAAATCTGTGAGCTACAAAAGTGCATCTGTGGGCCATGAGAAGTTACATTGGAAGAAGGTTTTCATGTTATGCAACTTTTTAAGGTGACAAAATCCTTTGTAGACTGGAATGGACAACTGTGGTTTTGGCATACAACTCCTAACAACTGTAAGTCAAATAACCAAAAGTGACAAATAATGGGAGGTGATGAAAAAAAAAAGCATCACGAGAACTAGAACTATCAACCCTAGTCTGATTAGGGAGCAATACACATATTGTTACTGCATGGTTAGCGGGAGAGATGTGAGTTTATTTGACAAGAAATGGTGATTGGAAGGAAAATCATGTGAACATAAAAGGCTATTTACCAAGTGCTAATTTTCCATAGGGACTTAGCAAGGTGCTATCCTTGCAGTGTTGGATTAGAGCTCGGGAATGCCAGAGTTTCCATGACTCAGCCATGGAAACCCACAGGGTCACTTCAAACAAGTCACATTTCCTCATCCTCTGAGGAAGGCAATGGATTGGCAATCCCTCTCTGACAAAATCTTACAGTAGCAACTCCATCATAAGTTAACCTTAGAGTCACCATAACTCTAAAATTACTTTAACGTTCACACAAAGAAATAGCAAGCATTCCATAGTGGAGCACAATGGCGTACAAACACTTGAAAAACCCAACCAATTTCTGTTTCTTTTTTCTTGGCGGTGCTGGTGAATTGTGAAGTCTGAAGTTTCAAACCTCACCTGAAATACTGTGTTCAGTTCAGGGCACCACAATTCAAGAAGGATATCAGAAAGCTGGAATGAGTCAAGATGAAGACAATCACAATGATAAACGATCTGGTGATCATAAACTATGAGAAGAAGCTTGGGCAGCTGGGTATGTTTAGCCTGGAGAAGAGAAAGTTAAGAGATGACATGATAGCTATTTAAAAATTTTTAAGAGTGTCATACTGTAGTGGATTAAGCTTGTTTTCTGCTGCTCTAGAGATACAAAGCAATGGATTAAAACTAAAGAAAAAGAAATTCAATCTAAATATTAGAAATAACTTCTTGATCGTGGAACATGCTGCCTCAGAGTGTCAGGCTCCTTGGCTTGGGGATGAGCGGGGGATTGGAAGTATGTAAGAAAAAAGAAAGACTGCATTTTTGGTGAATAGATGCAACCATGGAGCCCTGAGTCTGCAAAACATGAGCAGGCTATTGTAGATAGGATGTCTTGGAAGTCTTTCATTCACTGGATTGGCATAAGTCTTACATCAATTTGATGGCAGTTAACAAAAACAATAAAGCTCCTCCAAGTCTAAAAACCCTGTAAGCAGATCAAATCTGATTTTGGAAGTTGAACAGGACATTTGAATGGGAAAACACTATGAAATACTAGGTCACAATTCAAAGGAAGATAATGGCAAACCATGTCTGAGGTTGTGCTGTCGAAGACTTCACAACCTCTGAGGATGCCTGCCATAGATGTGGGCCAAACATCAGGAGAGAATGTTTCTGGAACATGGCCATATGGCCTGGAAAACTCACAGCAACCTATCTCTGAGTAGTCATTGTCTTTAAACACCCTATTAAATACATGGGTTTTCCTAAGGCAATGGGTGAAATGAAAGCACATACATATATAAATTCCCACTCTTACCAACACAATGTCTGCTGTAGTCTTAATATAATGAAATTGTTACTCACTTTCCTATCCTTCCCGGTTATTTTCAGAACAGAGTCTTTCCATTCCAATTTACAAGGCTACTAACTACGTACCTGAAAAGAAGATGGTTCCTTTGTCTTTTCTGTCAGCCAAAACAAATAACATTTCTCATCCAAAGTGAAGAAAGGAAAAACACTGGAACATATCTAAAAGTTCAGCAGAGAGCAGATAGGCAAATATTCCTATCGCTAGTGAGATTAAAGGGCAGGAAGCATGAAAAGTAAATAGTGTGTTTTTATGAGGGAATAGGGCTAAGAGAAGGAAGACATGACATGATCTTAGTGGATCAGTGAAAGAGAGTTACATAAAAGAGGCAGAGAAAATGAAGACCTAATGGAAATACATATGGGGGAGAAATGGATGGATGGAGGGAGTACAACTTGGTTTTGGGTTGTAGAAAAGCAGCAAAGGGCTGAACCTTGTGTTGTTCCCTCTGCATTATGGTCTGGTAGAAAGAAATCCAAGAGAGACCTCTGCTTCTCCAGAGCTTACCTGAGGCCTGAGCCAATGGGATAAGACACCACAGGGATTTCAATAGCTTCAGTCAACAGTTCCAAAATGCTGCAAAGGAGTTCATTACATCAGCACTGCTTTGTTAGCCATTGCAGGTTTGCTTTGGGGAAATGAGGTGAAAGAAGATAGTTTGCTAAGGTAAATATTGTCCTGAATTAGATAAAGTTGATACATTGTGGGTGCTTACTTACTTTACTTAGGCGATCCCTAAGTTGTCCGAGTAGGATAGTCTTCCAGGGTCAGTGTCTGGGCAGTAGGTCTGTAGGTGACTGTGAAGCCCTATTCTTGATCTGCATCTTCTCCCGCAGTGAGGGCATTGGTTTCCAGGTGGAAGGGGGTTCTGGTTGGGGTTGGCTTGATGTGCCTTCCCCTTGGCACATTCCTCTCCTTCGCCCTCCATTCATACCTCTTCAAATTCTACGGCACTGCTGGTCAGAGCCAACCTCCAGCTGGAGCACTCAAGGGCCAGGGCTTCCCAGTTCTCAGTGTCTATGCCAGAGTTTTTGAGGTTGGCTTTGAGCCCATCTTTAAATCTCTTTTCCTGCCCACCAACATTCCGTTTTCCATTCTTGGTGTCGGAGTAGAGCAACTGCTTTGGGAGACGGTGGTCGATCCGGACAATTTGGCCACTCCAGTGGAGATGATGGCAGAGGACCATCGCTTCAGTGCTGGTGGTCTTTGCTTCTCCCAGCACGCTGACATTTGTCCGTGTCTTCCCAAGAGATTTGCAGGATTTTTCAGAGGCAGCGCTGATGGAATCGTTCCAGGAGTTGCATGTGACGTCTGTAGACAGTCCACATTTACAGGGTTGGGAGGACAATAGCTTTATAAACAAGCACCTTGGTATCCCTACAGATGTCCCAGTCCTCAAACACTCTCTGCTTCATTCGGAAAAATGCTGCACTTGCAGAGCTCAGTCGGTGTTGTATTTCGGTGTCAATGTTGACTTTGGTGGAGAGGTGGCTGCCAAGGTAGCAAAAATGGTCAACGGCCACTCTGGGGCCAGAATAAAGAAGGGGAGCCAGGAGGACATTGCCATCTTGTCCCCTGTGACATCAGCGCCCCTCCCCCAGCACCAACGGCCACTCTGGGGCCAGAATTGTTTTTATACTATGTCTTGAATTTTGTTGTTCCTATGTTGTACACCGCTGTGAGTCGCCCCTGGGCTGAGAACAGCGGTATATAAGCAAAATAAATAAATAAATAAATAAATAAATAAATGTTACACCATTAAGCTGTATTTCTGGCATTGGAGAGGAATTGGATGGTGACTGCTGGAAGAGCACTTTGGTTTTCTCAATGTTTAATGACAGGCCGAGCTTCTTATGCTTCTGCGAAGGTGTTTAGAGTGGCTTGTAGGTCTTCTTCTGAATACGCACAGATGACATTGTCATCAGCATACTGGAGTTCTATAACAGATGTTGTTGTAACCTTGGTTTTGGCTTTCAGTCTGCTGAGGTTAAATAGCTTGCCATCTGTCCAATAGATGATTTCCACTCCGGTGGGAAGCTTCCCATCAACAAGGTGAAGTATCATAGCGATGAAGATGGAGAATAAAGTTGGGGCAATAACACATCCCTGTTTGACACCTGATTCCACCTTAAATGGGTCACTTTGGGAGCCATTGCTGTCCAAGACTGTTGCCATCATGTCATCATGGAGGAGCCGAAGGATGTTCACAAATTTGTTATGGCATCTGATTTTTTGGAGACTGGTCCAGAGAGCACTGCAATTCACTGTGTCGAAGGATATTTAGGAAGTTTCCATTGGGGATTTATTAGCCTTGAAAAACATGCCTTTTTGGTTCTCTTAAATTATTTGGAGGTGGCACCTTCCATTATCTCTTCAAATTCATAATTAGGCAAAATTCTGTTGCAGCACTCTTCTTCAAAGACAGCATTTAGGTGGAGGGACGT